TAAACATATATATGTATATGATTAGGTAATTTGTATGATATATATAAATCCATTGTAATATTAAACACAAAATTTTTAGTAAAATGAAATGAATCACATACATTTAAAAATAAATGAAAATGACAAAGTGCATATAAAAACATTCAGTATATTGGCTGTGAGTTTGTCATAAATAGCTCTTATTATTTGGAGATATGTCACATCAATATTTAGTTTATTAAGAGTTTTTAGCATGAAGGCTGTTGAATTTTGTCGAAGGCCTTTTCTGCATCTGTTGAGACAATCATATGGTTTTTGTCTTTAGTTCTGTTTATGTAATGAATTACATTTATTGATTTGCTAATGTTGAACCAGCCTTGCTTCCCAGTGATGAAGCTGAGTTGATTGTGGTGGATAAGCTTTTTGATGTGCTGCTGGATTTGGTTTGCCAATATTTTATTGAGGATTTTTGCATCAATGTTCATCAGGGATATCGGCCTGAATTTTTTGTTGTTGTTGTGTCTCTGCCAGGTTTTGGTATCAGGATGATGCTGGCCTCATAAAATGAGTTACAGAGGATTCCCTCTCTTTCTTTTATTTGGAAGAGTTTCAGAAAGAATGGTACCAGCTCCTATTTGTACCTCTGGTAGAATTCGGCTGTGAAACCATCTGGTCCCAGGCTTTTTTGGTTAATAGGCTATTAATTACTGCCTCAATTTCAGAACTTGTTATTGGTCTGTTCAGGGATTTGACGTCTTCCTGGTTTAGTCTTGGGAGGATGTATATGTCCAGAAATTTATCCATTTCTTCTAGACTTTCTAATTTATTTGTGTAGAGGTGTTTATAGTATTCTCTGACAGTAGTTTGTATTTCTGTGGGATTGATGGTGATCTCCCCTTTATCATTTTTTACTGAATCAATTTGATTCTTATCTCTTTTCTTTATTAGTCTGGCTAGCAATCTATCCCTTTTGTTGATCTTTTCAAAACACCAGCTCCTGGATTCATTGATTTTTTGAAGGGATTTTTGTGTCTCTATCTCTATATTCTGCTCTAATCTTACTTATTTCTTGTCTTCTGCTTGCTTTTGAATTTGTTTGCTCTTGCTTTTCTAGTTATTTTAATTGTGATGTTAGGGTGTCGATTTTAGATCTTTCCTACTTTCTCTTGCGGGCACTTAGTGCTATAAATTTCCCTCTACACACTGCTTTAAATGTGTCCCAGAGATTCTGGTACATTGTGTCTTTGTTCTCATTGGTTTCAAAGAACATCTTTATTTCTGTCTTCATTTAGTTATTTACCCAGTAGTCATTCAGGAGCAGGTTGTTCAATTTCCATGTAGTTATGTGGTTTTGAGTGAGTTTCTTAATCCTGAGTTCTAATTTGATTGCATTGTGTCTGAGAGTGTTATTCTTAACAACGCTGGGTCTTATTTGCTAATATTTTATTTAGGATGAAACGAAATACTGGCAAATTGTTGATGAAATGCTCAATTATCTAGAAAACCATGAACTTGGGTCAAAGAGAGGCAGAAAATCTGAACTGATCAATAACTGTTGAAGAAATTATAAAGATAATCAGATTCATAAAAATTGTCCAGCACTAAATAGCATATAAACATCTTACTAACTCTGCCAGAAGCAGATGAATTCCTTTGTTATAGGGCCTATTCTGGTACATGAAAGGGAAAACATTCCCAACTCAGAAGGTTAGCATACCTCTAATACCCAAACCAGATAAGACTGGTGACATGTACCAACCTCACTTCCAAACATCATTGCAAAGATCCTAAGTAAAATATTAGCAAATAAGGTCCAGTGTTGCTAAGAATAATACATCAAAATCAAGGAATTTTATATCAACATATTATCTCCCAAGACTACTATTTTGATACACATTCCTTCCAAGAATATTTAAAAATACCTGTTTTTTCATCTCTGCCAACGCTAAGGGGTGGGAGGAAAGGAAGACTTTAGTTTTTCTTGTTTGACTCTTTTTCTGAAGCAGATATGAAAAATGTATAATTAATATTTTTAAACATTCAAATTTCAAATAAAATAAAAATAAAGTGGTGATGAAAACATAGTATCTCAGGTCAGTCCAGGAAAGATTATAACGTAATTTTGTCTTTGTATCCTCCAGCCTCTCCTTGGTCATCCCTTTTCCTCTTTTTAAGACATCCCTCCTCCCACACCGTGTGTCACTCCCAGGTCCTTGGGTTCTGAAACCAGGACAAGGATGGGACATAAATAGATGAGCAACCATTGCTCCTGCCTTTCAGAAAAACTGTGAAGTCCTATTGTACCATAACATTCCAAGGCCCTTGACAAACAACAGTACACATATCCATGTACCTTTTCTCAGAAACCCTTTAGAAACACTGCGTTTATCCACTTTCTTTCCCCAACCTCAAACCTAAATCTGTTGCTAGGGAAACCTAATAATCTTGTATTTCAGGGTAAATTTAATGTTATCTATTTGTTGCCTCAGAAGAATTTCCATCTGAAATGTGGTCTTTATGAAGTAAAATTTTAGGCATCAGCAGAACAAGTCAGATGGTTAAAGAATTCTATTTGATGCCTAATTTCTTAATTCTGAGCAGTGAACTCTGATGTTATTTATCCTGAGTGTCCTCAGCTTGCTGCCAGCTAAGTACATGATACATGATAATATGTTTCAGACCATAGCCAGCTCTGGCTTAAAGAGTTCACTTAAAGGGCCAGCCAAAACTTCACCTCTGTCCCCTGGTTCTGTCTCCAGTGGGTCCCAAAATTTCTCCTTAATTCAAGAATTCCTTCCTGAGTTCAGAAATTAGAATAGTTCCCTCTCAACTTCCAAGTGGAATCTGTGGGGGCATTAATTGCTGTTTGGGATAATGTCCAGATGTCATCTTGGCCAAAGCTATGGTTATGCAGAAACAGATTTCTGGAAAATTTACTTGAACTTGGACATAGCTCCACGTGGGGGTCCTCACCAAAGATCACACTATAACCTGTGACACAAGCATAGCAGACAAATGGAGTTGTTTAGCTTTTCATATTTTTTAAATTTTTTATATCAGGGCCATGCATGGTGGTTCACAACTGTAATCCCAGCACTTTGGGAGGCCAGGACCAGGATTTCAGGACCAGCCTGGGCAACACAGTGAAAACCCATCTCTACTGAGAGAGGGAGAGAGAGAGAATAAATTAGCTGGGCATAGTAGCACATGCCTGTAGTCTCAGCTACTCAGGAGGCTGTGGTGGAAGGATCATTTGAGCCCAGGAGACTGAGGCTGCAGTGAGTTATGATCACGCCACTGTACTCCAGCCTGAGTGACAGAACAAGACCCTGCCTCTTTTAGTTCAAATACCTATGAAGGCATTTCAATTTGCAATTTCAGCCTTACCGTCATCCCAGGCTCTGACCTGATGACATAAACAGGTACAAAAGGGTCAGGTGTTCATATTATCTTATTCTTCCCTCTCCTCATTTTTTCCCAATATTTAAGGCCCAAGTTATAAAGGTGAGAGCTATTCAATTCCAATCACAGCTGTTATTCTAGCTCATTGTGTGACCTTAAACAAGTTAGCTTGTCTTTAGGTGGTAGACTAGTTTTCTAAGGCAACTAGTTGTTTAACAGTCTGTGGTTCTGTGTGTCTATTCTCCCTACCATAGTGATAAAACTTAGACTTATAGATTAGCAAATCTGCTTATTTACTCCTATGTAGTTGGAAATAAATAAACACTTGTTATCCCACTCTAGACATAAACTTGATGCAGGAAGCAGTTGAGTACAATAATAACTCAATGTGGATATTCAAGCAATATTTTGGCTTTTTTCTATAGCCTCCTCTGGCTTGGAAAACAAACTCTTCATTATTGTTAAGCATTATTTGGAACTTTTTCTTTCCCTTTTTCTATGCCATTCATTGTCACTGCCCCAGAAGTTGAGAATTATGCCTGAGGCCGTATAACTATGTTGTTTATGTACAAAACAATATTCCATTATGTCAGCCACTCTGTTCACATCAGTGAATCAATGAACTGTAGGACAATCTTAGTGTTCTAGGGACAAATACAAAGTCAGGGTATGCTACCAACGCTGTTATGGACTTTACCCACTTGTTCTGGTTGAAGTTATCCTTTGCTCTATTAAATGGGTTTGTGACCAGCTGTCCTGTATAGTTTAGGAGTTATGGACCTGGATAGCTTAGCTGTATTAATTTCTCCAGCTTAGCTGTATCAGTGTTTCCATTTACATCTAATCTAAATGTTTGCATGAATAGTGTTTTGATTACATAGTCATATATGTCCATGTTTATATAATTCATATATTTATGTATTTACATAAAATCAGAAAGAATGGAAGGTAACATATTTTAAAATATGCATTGCTATGCCTGACTCATAGCAAAGGCCCCAAAATCATAGGGTTACTTTTTTATTGGGGGAGCAGGCTGTCTTAGTCTGTTCAGGCTGCCATAACAAAATACTATAAAATGGGTAGCTTATAAACAACAGAAATTTATTTCATAGAGTTATGGAGGCTCAGAAGTTCAAAATCAAGGCAGCACAGATTCAGTGGCTGATGAGAGCCCAATTTCTGGTTCATAAACAGTGGTTCTATCTGTGTCCTCATGTGGTAGAAGGTGGAAGGGAGAGGCCTTTCATAATGGCACTAATTTTATAATGACCATTAATTATGATCTAATGACCTCCCAAAGACCATCCTAAACCCATCACATTGATGAATAGGTTTCAACATATGCACTTTGGGGGAACATGACCATTAGACCATAGTGAGGGTGAATGGTTATGACGTTAATCAGTAAGTGGACTGTGTTTGGAAACTACTGTGACATCTCCCTCTTAACGAATAGCAGAGCCCTCTCATCAGATTCTTGTTATGTGCACTTGGCCTATGGTTAAGAATCTACTTTATAGATATTAAGATAATCTCTGCTCAGATATAGTCTCATTGATTTAATTTCTCTTGGGGGAAAAATGCTTTGCTAATGATCACCTTGTCTCAAATTGCAGATTACGGTATTTCGGATGGGATCAGAAGGACATCAGGACATTGATTTAGCTATCCTGACAGCTTTACTCAAAGGTAAAAGAGTTTCTGTGTCCAGAGAGTGTGAAAATAATTTAAATTGATTAATACAGTGACCTTATGTCTCCTAATAATAGGTATAATACCAGTGATACTATGACACAATAAATTATTGATAACATAAGAGTCACTCCTGGCCTCTTAGTCACTCTCTATATGTGTGGTGGCTCACGCCTATAATTCCAGCACTTTGGGAGGCCGAGGTGGGTGGATCACGAGGTCAAGAGATCGAGACCATCCTGGTCAACAAGGTGAAACCCCGTCTGTACTAAAAATACAAAAATTAGCTGGGCATGGTAATGTGTGCCTGTAGTCCCAGCTACTCGGGAGGCTGAGGCAGGAGAATTGCTTGAACCCGGGAGGAGGAGGTTGCGGTGAGCCGAGATCGTGCCATTGCACTCCAGCCTGGGTAACAACAGCGAAACTCCGTCTCAAAAAAAAAAAAAAAAGTCACTCCTGTAAGACACTGTTACTGCTGTTAAATTTTCCTAGAATAGATGTTGGCTCATTTTATAAATACAGATTTAAATATACTGCAGTTTAAGTTATGTCCATTGAATTATAAACATAGATAAAGAAAAGGCTGACTTTGTGTCTAAAGACACAATGTTATCTGAGAGTATTTAATATTAATTATCAACCCTATCTACTCTCAAAAACCATTTGATATGGCATATGTATGGGTATATGTGTGTTCGATATATATACACACAATAATAAATACCTTAAAACACACAATAAACGTAAAATGGAAAATCAAAAACCATTGAAAGGAAGGGAAAAGGAAAAACATTATGCTACTGTACTTGTTATAACAGAGCATTAAATTTAAGCTTCCTGGAAGTTCAGGCAAAAATGGAAATACTCTGAATTGTAAGTTATTTCAAAGGCGGGTGTTTGTCTTATTCTCTAGTCCCAATACTACAGAGTCCTCATTTATCTGTCCTGGTCCTTGGAGCCATATGAAGAGCGGTTTCCTTTAGGTTCTGTGGATTTAATCCAATCCTCCCTGTGCTTTACTAATTACATTATATTTGACTAATAATTTTCAGTGTTAAAATAAACAGAAGGAAGTTTCCCCTGTTCAGTGCTGAAATTCAAACCAGAACTATAAGATGAAACAAAACCACAAACCTTGTTGAATGTGGTTCTGGGTTAGAAATGTCTCCTACATTCTCTCTTAGCCCCATAGTTTGTTTGCCTGATATTGTGTCATGACTGGTCACTATCTGTTTGTAGTCTCCCTAGATAGGGCAGGGAATGTGTCTTGCTCATTACTACCTTCACCTCACACAATCCTTAACATATGGCAACATTCAATTAAGTTTTGTTTAATAAATGAAGGGATGAGTGGATTACTCAATGACTCAGTGATAGATTCAGCATTTCAAAATTAAAACTCAGAATAGCAACTATTTAGTTCACTTTCCAGTACATCTACTCTTCTTCCAGTGTTAATATTCTCTTGAGAAGCCATCATGTGCTAATGTGCCAAACTCTTTACAAATACTGTAAACAGTATTTATTTCAACAACCAAGTGATATAGGAGGTATTTTTAATTACCATTTTACAGATGGAGTAAATTGAGCTACAGGAAGTTAAGTAACTTGCTAAAGGTTACAATTCTAATTGGTAAGCTTGGACTTAGGTCCAAGTATGTCTAACTCTTCACTATACCATGTGAACCCCCTGACAATACTAATGTATCAATTCTCTTCATCCACTTTCCAAATATATATATGTATATTCATTCAAAATCCTGATTGCATTTTAGAAGTTTTACAATCCCATGAAGGATATCATGTGTTCAGCTTGAGAACTGCTACTCTAAAGTATTTTATCCCAATGAACTAAAAAATACAAACACTTTGCAGAAAAATCATGGAACCAGTAACCAGGCACGGACCGAACTACAAAGCATACTGCAGGTCCCACTTGCCCCATATCAGAGACAAAAGTAAAAATTTGAGGCAAGTTACCCTATATTTGCCATTCTCAAATAAAGATATTTTAAAGTAATAATATCAGTAACTGACATTTATTGAAAATTTACTATGTGCTAAACACTGTGTTGGATGCATTCCATTTATACATTTGTTTATTCTTTATGATAGTTCAATTACCAGATTTTACAAGCTCTATTTTATAAATAAGGAAATTGGGGCATAGAGCAATTCAGTAACATGCTCAAAATAAGTTGGCCAGTAAATGGTAGAGACAGTCTGACCTCATAGCCCTTACTTATTTATAGAGATACACAAAGCATCCCTTTTCCACTAATAAGAAAAGAATCACCACATTTACAACCTTGAACAAAACTCATAGCAAATAGGTAAGTGATCCATTTATTGATAAAAACATATTGCCATTATAATATCTTCTAGTTAAAATATTTTCTTCGTCGTTACAAATTTGCGAGACTTTAAATTGTGCTTCACCTTTGGCTCAGCCTTAGAATTTATTCATTGTATTATAGAATAGCTGTTTTCCAACTTTTTTGAGCATGAATTACCATATGAAATACATTTTATATTATAACCAAATAGTTACACATACGGATTTGGAAAATTGAAATTAAAGTAGATGAAATAATATTGACTTTGGCAATATGCAGTGAAATTGGATATTTTCTATTCAATCTATTCTATTCTTTTAAATGCTGATTATATCCCACTAAATTGATTTCACCACCCACTAATGGGTCATAACCTGCAGTTAAAAAAAACACTGCCACAGAAAATTAAAGAAAATTATGATTGTTCTAAGAAATTAGCATTTCTAATCACCATAATGAACATTATTTATGCAGCAGTTGATGCTAATGAGAATTTATGCCATTAAAAGATTATGATGTGTCAACTCTATTTTGCAAAGGTTTTGAAATGCTCTCAGATGTTGACCCATTTGGTTTGTAAAGGGTATCAAGCACAGTACTTTTGCTGGCTTCTTTGGAGGCCAAGAGCCTACTTATATTGGTTTCAAACTCAAGTTTATTGAAGTATTCTTCCTACTTTTTAAAATTATGCATGGGCATGTAACATGGTTTAACATTCGATTGTTACATTTAGTTTTCAGTTGTCTGATGCATGGAGAAACTTTGTACAGTCCAGTTTTTATTCTGAGGAATCTGAGAAATTTTTGAGAGAATCAGAAGTTAGGAAGATGAGAAAGCCAGGAAGCGACCCACTGGTCCCTAAATCCAGAGGCCACAAAAAAGGACAGGAAGCCAGGTGACCATGGGAAAAATATTTCTTTGCTGCTCCTTGTTACTGGGTTTGATTTTTTTTTTGGGATCTGCATATTCTATATGAGAAGATACTATTTATATTATACAGACTTATTAGGTATCTGTCCAAAAATGAAGAAAGGCAAACAAAATGTTTCAGGCCAAGCTCACACTTGTAACAGCAACACTTTGGGAGGCTGAGGCTGGAGTAGCTCTTGAGCCTAGGAGGTCAGGGCTGCAGTGTATCATGATTGCACCACTGTACCTCAACCTGGGCAACAGTGCAAGATTGTCTTCAAAAAAAAAAAAAGAAAAGAAAAGAAAATGAAGAAAGAATGTTGTTTCAGTCAGAGATGTAAGAGACCCAAATTTTCTTCAAATGATGAACTGGAGTAGCTTTTGAGAATGGAGAATGTCACATTTGTCCTTCACATAATGGACCACTCCACAAGGGCGGTGCTCTGAAGCAAGAGACTGAGCACTCTCCTCCTCCATTAGCCTTTCCCCGCCCCTGCAACACACACCAGGAGCCCAACATACAGGATATCCAGTTAACTTTGAAATTTCAGATAAATAAAAAATAATTTTTGAGCATAAATATGTCCCCAAGTGGGGACTTACCATACTTAAAAGTATGTCTCAAGTGAGACACACTTATACTGAAAAAAAAATTGTTCATTATTTGCCTGAAATTCAAACTTCACTAGGAGTCCTGTATCTGTATTTGCTAAAACAGGCTACCTAATTCAGAGGTGGTTTGATGCCAATTTAGGGTGGAAAGGAAGTGACCCCTTTCCCATCTTAAGGGTTATAGCTAACACTTCTGTAACAAAGGCAAGTTAACAAGAGAAAAGCATAACAAATATGTTTGATCTTATTTTTATGTGACAGTCCAGCCTTCAGAATGAAGACCTGAAGATACACAGAAAACTTTTCATTTTTATGCTTAAGCTCAATGAAGTGTGAATAGCTCTGTAGAAATATGATTAGACAGAAAGACTCTGATGGAATGCTAACAGACTGAGAGGGGAAACCCAGCAAGGCCTGTCTTATCTGATTCTTCTTGACTTCTCTGTGCAACATTCCTGTTGATGCAGGACAAGCAAGCCTCAAGGTGGGATTTAGCTCATGAGGGTTCTTGGCTTCTCCCAGGAAGGAATTCAAGGGTAAGCCAGTGTAGGGTAGAAGGAAACAGCTTTATTGAAGCAGTGTTTCAGCTCTGGCAAGGTTACAGTTCTGTTACTGCTCCTGCAGAGTGGGGCTATCCAACAGGCAGTGTGCCTAGATTAGCAGCTCAGGGCAGTTTTGCAATCATATTTATGCCTACTCTTAACTATGTGTAGATTAAGGGATAGTTTATGCAGAAGTTGCTAGGAAAAGGGTGGTAATTTTTGTGTCATTGGGTCATTGCCATGGAAAGGGGTGGTAATTCCTGGCTGTTGCTATGGCAGTGGTAAGCCAACATGGCACACTGGAGGGTGTGTCTTATGGAAAGCTGCTTCCACCCTGGACCTATTTTAGCTAGTTCTCACTTTGGTCCAGTGTCCGAGTCCTGCCTCCTCCCTTACTTCCTTCCAGGTATAAGATAGATCTCTTTTTGAATAAAGGTATTAATTTTTTATGTCCAGCTGTGACACAGAAGGATGGAGAAGTGAGTCGGGGGTGGGATGAGTGTGATATCTTTAGGCTTTATGGCTGGCTTTGGGGAAATGGGGTTCTGGTCTCTATGACCTTCCTTGGGAAACAGGGATTCCAGTTTCCATGGCTTGC